CCCCGCGGCCTCGGTGCAGGTGCGGGTGGGGGGGTGCTCTCCGCGCAGAGCTGCGTCCTCCGGGTCCGGCGACCGGAGCGGCCAACAACGCGGCAGACAGGGGTCACGGGTGGGGGGAGGCGAGGGTAAGAGACGCGCCCTCCGCTCCGAGGGGCGACACCCCCGCTCCCACTCTTTCGAACCCGACCTCAGCGGTTCTGCTTTGCCCCTCAGTCACCCCCCCCGCCCGCTTTCTCTGCGGGTCACCCTGCCAGGCAGCTCGGCTCAGAGACCCCACACCCACACAAGTGGGCACGCGCCCCAGGGGTCTGGCCTGAGGCTCCTGAGAGGGCACCACGCTGTAGAGTTGGGCCAGTGGGGTGTCTAAGGTCACCCCGACTCTGGAGAGCAACCCCTAGGAGGCGGGCGCAGTCCCACCCGTGGGGTGAGGCGGGGAGGTCGCTGGCCCCAGCTCTGAGCCCTGGGATGCGAAGCGCAGCAGTTAAATCGGGAAGGCACCCCACGTTCACCAGGACGTGTGGACTCGGCCACATGACCTTCCAGGAGAATGAGGGGCAGTCACCCAGAAATCTCCTAGAACCGCAGGTCGGGGCTTCAGTCTCACAGGCCGCTGGACAACCACCGGCCAGATCACGAGGCCGGACAGTGGGGTCTTAGGGGGCTCGTGTGACCGAGAGTGCAGGCCCCAGGCGGGGTCAGCGTCGGAGATGTGTCCAGTGAGTGACAGCCTCCAGGGGAGAAGAGGCCGCCCTGGACCCCAGGCGTGGGGATGCAGGCCTCCAGGCCGTAGGTCACCCCCACCCACAGGGCCGGAGAGCGCACACCCTGACCCAGAGGGCCCGATTCTGGTCCAGTGGCCGCCAAGAACTGGGCAGGTCCCTCCCGTAGGCCCCTGCAGAGATGGAGCACTCCAAGTGGCCTGCTTTTCGGCCTCCCTCGGACCCCCAAGCCCCCCAGTAGCCGTGTGACTACCCGAGGGTCACGATGACCAGTGGCCGAGCTCCTGGCTGGTGACTCGCAGGTGGGGGAGCGAGAGACCCTGCGGCGAAGACACGTGGGCACAGCGCCCTCTGCCGGGCGCCCGTTGCACAGGCGAGGAGGTCAGCAGGTTCGGGTCCTCCCAGGCCCCAGCACCTCCCCTGGACAAGCTCTGATAATCCTCGCGTCCCGGCGGGCCGCTTCCCTCCAAACTCTGCACCCCGAGTTGATTTCCTGTCCGCAGAGTTCCTGCCCCCGTCCAGGAGCCCTGGGCTGCCAGGTCTGAGGTCCCTGGTACTGATCAGGCCTCTGTCCCAGCTCACCTCCCCAGTGCAAACAAGGGTGCCTGGAACTAGAGAGGCCCTCACAGTGAGGACACCCCCTCCAGACTCCACACGCTGAAGTGAGAACTCTCCAAAACAGGACAGTTCACAAAATAGCGCTGAAAGAAGACAGTACCTTGGGCCCCAACCCCAGCCACCCCAGGGGTCTCCTCTGGGCCATGAAGGAATTCTGGGGAAGGGGCTCCTTCCCAGGGGAAGGGGAAACCCTGGAAGAGAGAAGGCTGGAAAGTGAGTGAATCTCCGAGAAGCAGTCAGATGAGCAGAACAGCAGCAAAAACAAATCCATCCCAAACCCACGCCTGCCCAGCACTTCCCTGCGCCTCACGCCCCTGGAGCGCTGAGAGCCTGTTGTCAGGTGCTGTCGAGCTGAGTAGGACTCCCAGCGACCCTGTGAACAGCAGATCTGAGCCCTGTCGGTCCTGGGCCAGTCACACCATCTCCAACACGCTCAAGCCCACTGGGCACTCACTGTGTCACCCCACCTGATTGAGGGTCTTCCTCTCCTTCACTCACCCTCCACCTTGCCAATGATGTGCCCCTCCAAGGAAGAGTCCGCACAACATGTCCAAAATACCCAAAGCTGGTGGCTTAGTGGTGAGGAATTGCGTGCCAACCCAAAGGTACATGGTTCGGTTCCACCAGCTGCTCAATGGGAGAGAGATAGGCGATCTCTTCCTACGCAATGTATCACCTCTGCTCCATTCAGACTTGATGGTGCAGACAACAAAATGCCCCTGACAGACCAGCTGGGTCCCAGCAGTGATGGAGGGGGGCTGGGTCCCCGGCAGTGACATGGGGGGGCTGGGTCCTGGCAGTGACATGGGGGGGCTGGGTCCTGGCAGTGACATGGGGGGGGCTGGGTCCTGGCAGTGACATGGGGAGAAGGGCTGGGTCCCGGCAGTGATGAGGGGGTCCCAGCAGTGACATAGGGAGAGCTGGGTCCCAACAGTGAAGGAGGGCAGCTGGGTCCTGGCAGTGACATGGGGGGGCTGGGCCCTGGCAGTGGAGCAGGGGCTGGGTCCCGACAGTGACATGGGGGGGCCTGGATCCTGGGTCCCATCAGTGGTGGTAGTGGGGCTGTCCTTGTACTTGAATCTCACTCACAGGGCCCAGGTGCAGCAGAACAAAGCCCTGCCGGATCCCATGCCAGCCAGTCCCTCCGCTGTGCTTATGCCCTTGTTACGGCCACTGTGTTCATCTAGGTGGTAGGAAGCCGGGCATTTCCCAGAAAATGTACAAAAAGACCAGGAGACAAGTCACCTGGTCCAAGAGGCCTCGGGCTGCTGGCAGGAGTCCCCGAGCTGCTGTGGAAGGTAGCAAACGAAATCACAAAACATATCCACCCCCTACCTCCACCTACCCGGTCAACACAGGCTAAAACCTGTCCACTGAAGTGAGCTGCTTGTTGTCCAGTCCGAACCAACTCACAGCTGACCCTCCAGCGGGTTTCCAGAGGCAGTAAATAGCATGGGAGGAGATTGCCCATCCTTCTCCCACAGACCAGCTGGTGGATTTGAACTACATGCCTTTGGAACAACAGCACAGCTTCTTACACTAGGTCCAGAGTTCCCTGCAGTGAGTCTGTTGTTAGGTGTCACCAAGTCCAGTACGACTCATAGTGACCGCAGACCTGAGTCCTGGCCTGTCCTGCGTTGGCCCCACCGTCTCGGACACACTCAGCCCACTGCTGCAGTCACCGTGTCAGTCCACCTCGGTGAGGGGCTTCCCCTCCTTCACTCTGTCCACCTTTTCTTTTTTTTTCATTTATTTAAGTCTTTTCTGTCCACCTTTTCAAGCATGATGTCCATCTCCAAGTCCAAAATATATACGATGAAATCTCCAAGACATGTCCAGAATATGTAAGACGAAGCTTTATCATCTCTGCCTCTTCAGGAGCACTCTGGCTGCACCTTCTCCAAGGCAGATCTGTCAGGCCCAGAACAAAGTCGGCGGAGAATAAAGGACTCACAGACTATGACATGTCAACAAAGGGAGTGAACGGCCTCGCCCACCCAGCTGAACCATCGACCACAATGGAACATCCTTAATAAGGCTGCTTTAAGCTTGCTTGCTTTCTCTCAGGTCCCTTGACCTTACGTCCAATGCGAAGACCTAACAATATCTGTTTGGTTTTTTGGCAGTCCATGGGATGTTCAACACTCTTCTCCAATAACACAGTTCAAAGGCATCAATAATTCTTCTGTTATTCATCGCCCAGCATAGTTAGTGACTGAAAAGGCCATGGCCTGTATCAGGCTCACCTTAGTCCTAAAATTGACATCATTGCTCCTCAATAATTGGAGGTCCTTTCCCAACTTTGCCAGTACAATACATTTTCTGATCTCCTTGAAATACCTCTCCTGATCTCCTTATTGCTGGTACAAAGTGTACTGATTGTGGATCCAAGAAGTCGTTGACCATTTCAGTCTTTTCTCCATCTAGCATGATTTTCCCCCCTTGACATTGAGATGCAATCCACAAGGCTTATCTTCTTCACCAAGTGCTGCAAGTCCTCCTCACTTTTAACAAGATTGTGTCATCTGCATAACAGTTTGATGAGTCTTCCTCCAATCCTGATGCTACACTCTTCTTCATAGACTCCAGCTTCTCGAATAATTTGCTCAACATACAGATTAAGTAGTTATGGATAAAAGATACAACCCTGCCACATGCCCTTCTTCATTTGAAACCATGCATGTTCCCTTGCTCTGTTTGCACAAACACCTGTTGGTCTAGGTAGAGGTTTCGCGTAAGCACAATTAAGTGCCCTGGAATTCCCATTCTTCTCAGCGCCAGTCATCCTTTGTTAGGATACACAGTCAAATGCCTTTGCCTCGTCAATAAAGCACAAACACATCCACCTGGGCTTTTCTGCTTTCCTCCAGGGTCCACCTGCAATCAGCAGTGGAGTACCTGGGCCACGGCCCCTTCTGGAACAGTGCATAGACAGGGAACTGCTGAGGGTTCGAGCAGTGAGTTTAATCCCTCAAAAAACTTATTAGACTCGTGACCATCAGAACCGACACCCAGCTGGCCCTCTGGTAACTCTGCTACGGCTGTCTACCATATGGGAGGAGACTGCCCACCTTTTTGTGACCTTGGAGGTGCTGGTAGACTTGAACCACCAGAGATGCCTGACCTCCATGTTAAGAGTGCAACTCTGTCCGGACTCACCAACGGAACTCCTGGAGTGTCGGGTTCTGATGCTAAACATCGTCTGGGAAAGTCGTTGAGAAAAGTCCCATGACCTGAAGAACGCCCACGTCGCTGACTTGTCTGATGGAAATTGTGAAAGGGCTTATGGTTGGTGTATCTATTTTCATCAGAATAAATAACAAGGTTTTTTTAAATTTTTTCAAAAATTATTGTGTGTGTGTGTGTGTGTGTGTGTGTGTGCGTGTGTGTGTGTGTGTGTGCGTGTGTGTGTATACCGTCAAATCAGATCTGACTGGCACAGGAGGAGACTGCCCCTCCTTCTCCAGCAGAGCATCTGGTGGGTTCAAACTGGCAAGTATTTTTTTAAAAAAACCTTGTCCAGCACCGTGCGTACCATGTCCCCAGGACATACCCAGGGCACTTCAGCCTCAGGAGACACCCCAACTCTTCCTGACATGGGGGGAGGTCAGGAATCCCCTGCCCTGAGCAGATGAGAACAGACTCCCCAAGGCCCTGCTCCACTGGGCCAGTAAGCGCAGGAGTCAGGAAGTCAGGTGGACGACCAAGGAAGTACATTAATGCCCCTTAGGGACAGTCTGCACAGTCGAGATGGACAACGGGTGATCCAGGGAGCTGGCAGCTGGAGGGGCAGGGGACCTGTGCAAAGGCCCTGGGGTCAGAGCAGCTGGGAGAGGCCATCTTTCCAAACAGCAATGGAAGAGCATCACAGGCCACATGCCAATGCCAGGGAGCGGACCCAGGAGCAGAGCATGGTGCCCAGTGAAGACAGCCTCCAGTCCAGGAAAGGCAGGAACAGGGCGGCTTTCGGGTGCCCTGCTTCACTGCGCTTTGCAGACCCTGTGTGTTTCCCAGCTGAAGGTGGTGGCCCCCCTGTAACGGACAGTCACTGGTCCTGTGCCAGCAGCATGCTCTCTGCACGTCTCTGCCCCGTCCTGGTCCCCCTCCCACACTGTCACATCGTGCACTCTCGGTGGAACCCAGCCGAGCCAGCAGGGAGGCCTGTGTACCAGGAAGCCAAATAATGTGTGTGACGTTCAACTGATCGTGGTGACCGGGGCCACTGCAGTGTCTCGCCGTCTGCCTGTCCTAGAGACTACTCAGCCAGTCCACCGGCCATGCTGCAGGCCTCGTTTACACACCCATCATCAATGCCCTTCACAGAATCCAGCTGACAGACCAGCAGGAACCCGTGAACAAGACAATCACCCCGGACTCACCCCGCGTCGTGCCACCCCATGGCCCACAGGGCAGAACTGCTCCACGGGGGCTTCCTGGCGTCATCACAGACAACCAGGCATCTCTTCTGAGGCACTGCTGAGCAGGGTCAAGCTGCCAAGTTGTTGTTCAGTGGTGGTTGTTGTTACTATGTGCCATCGAGTCAAAACCAACTGTGAGCCCACCCTCCATCAGGTCTTCAGAGGCAGGAAGTCACACAGGAGGAGCTGCCCTGCCCGTCTTCCTCCCGCAGAGCAGCTGGGGGACTCGAACTGCCTGCCTCTGAGTTGGCAGCAAGCTCCCCCCACGTCAGTTATTGTGGTTGTTGTTAGGTGCCATTGATTCGAGTATGACTCAGAGACCCTATGAACAGCCGTCTTGAACCCTACACTACCCTGTGCCGTCCTCATGTCTGACACACGAGAGCCCACTGCTGGAGTCACGCTGTCAGTCCATCTCGGTGGGGGTCTTCCTGTCCTTCGCTGACCCACCATCTTGCCAAGCATGATGTCCCTTTCCAAGGAGTAGCCTCACCGAGCTAAATGTCCAGAGTATGAAAGATAAAGCTTCATCATCCTTGCCTCCGGGGAGCACCCTGGCTGCACCCTCTCCAGACAGACCTGTTCTCCTGGCCATCCACGGGACATTCAGTGGCCTTCTCCAGCACCACAGCTCAGAGGCATCAAGTCTTCTGTCATCTTTATTCACTGTCCAGCTCTCTGATGCATAGTGGGTGACTGAGAAGACCAGGGCCTCAGTCAGGCCGCCTTAGTCTTCAATCTGCTATCGTTGCTCCTCTGTATTTCGGAGAGGTCCCTAACTGCCAATTTTGCCAGTAAAATACATTGAGTGCAAACCATTTACTCCCAGGACATCCTGTATCCCAGCTTTAGAACGAGATGCGGGCCTTGTCAACTCTGGCCACATGCACGTGCAAATTCTGTGCAGAATTCTGTGCAGAAGCCATCTGTGAGGCGCTCTTGCAGACCGAGGGTCCCAAAGAATAGAATAATTTTATAATTATTAATAAAGAAACAAACAGCCAGGAATGAGATAGAGCAGAGAGCGTAAAACGGGGTCAGCAGTTCTCGACTGAAGACCTCAAGCCATGCTTCTCTGAGTATTTATTTAGAATCATAAGATAATAAAAGTAAAATCACAAGGAAGTACAAAACAAAGGATAATGATGAAATATTTTACAGATAAGGCCAAGTTCCTCTTTATGTTAATCTTAAGAGGGGGGGATTCATTTGATACAAACTAAGAATAATGTTGACTCCTAAGGAATGCCCCAGTGCCACAAGGTGACCTTCAGCTTGTATTAAGCCTCCCTCATTTCCCGATACAGCATTTGGTCTACTATTATTAAATTTGGTATTTGGCTTCCCTCAAGCCGCTCCCCTCTTCCCCATCTCTCCTGAGGAGTCCCAACAGCCAACCTTCCTCAGCCCTGGCCCAGGTCACCAATGACAGAGGTGCCAGATAGAGTGGTCCAGCCACCGGCCTGGCTCCTGGTCTTGTTTTGACATCAGTGACACGTGGCACTCACCCTTTCCTTTCCCTCCAAGACCCACCTCCATTCACCCCCTGCCTCATAGCTGCCCCCATCTCCTCCGAGACCCTCTTGGCCATGAACTCCCTG